ATCTTCCCATTATTTTCCGTTCATCTTCATCATCTTCATCACCGTCTTCATCATCTTCATCACAATCACCATCTTCATCATCATCTTCACCATCTTCATCATCTTCATCATCATCATCATTCTCACCCTCACCATGGTCAGGAGGGATATGGTATAGGAGATGACGAGACCTCGATAGCCTACGATGGCTGTCGTCAGCTGATCTGGTACAAAGCCAAGAGTACCAAGCACACACAACCATGCTGGAAACCTGGTCTTTTTTGTTTTTTTGTACAATTTTTGGGGCGTTATTTGCCTTCATTTTTGCCGTATTTCAATTCTCAATTCAGCGGTGATATTTTAAAATGATATTTTAAAATGTTTTTTTTTTGTTATTATTCATACTTTTCATTTTATTACAATTCATTATCATTTATTAATATTTTATTATCATTTATTATTACATTTTATTATAGTCCCTTATTTTTATGATTATTTTGGCAGGAAATTTGTCGTACTATCGTCATCATCACCATCATAAGCATCATTGTCATCATCACCATCGTAATCATCATCAACATTACCATCGTAATCATAACCATCATTACCATCATCATCATCATCGTCGTCATCACCATCATAATCATCATCATCATCATTACCATCATAATCATCGTCATCATCACTATCGTAATCATCATCATCATCGTTCCAGGAGACATATTGGGCCTACTGTTGAACGTGGACAGCAAGGAGGTCATCTTCTCCTTAAATGGTGACTGCCTGCCTCCTAACAAACTTCTTTTCACCCTAGATACGTTAGTGGGCTATCTCATTAGCATTTGTTGGCCTTATTAATATTCATCAGTGCCTCATTCATCAGACTCAATTAACATTCACCATCTTATGAATTTTCAAATTTGTGTTAATTTTAGTCACTAAAGGCCCGGTGGCTTATTAACATTTGTTGATCTCATTAATATTCATCAGGGCCTCAGTCATCATCACTTTAGATACTTTATCAATATTCAAACTTATGTTAATTTATGCTAATAAAGGCCCGGTGGCTACTACGCAGCGGCCAGTTTCATGTCTTATCAGCAGTGCATATTCAACTTCGGGGCCAGTCCTTTTGTGTACCCTCCAAAGATAGCGTACAAGAAATTAAATGACTATGGCATGCTGACACTCCAACAACGGACCATACTACCTAGGTTGGTTGGTTGGTTCGAATTATCGTCATCATTTACCATCATCATCATCAACATATTGATAAATTTAAGATTATTTTATAACACGGGCAAAACAAACACACACACATACGCATACGTTTAACACTTATTTCTTATACTCGCATACACAAACACACACTCATACATGCACAAATGTACACATTTACACACACGCACAAATGTACACACGCACACTCACACACACACATTCTAAACAGACACATGAAGATGTCTTACCTGAAGCACATCTCCATCTCCGAGGACTCATGCACGATCTGCGTCGACCACCAGGCTTGCATCAAACTTGAGCCATGCGCGCATACGTTATTATTGCCTATTATTTCATCTTTTTTAACTTATTGTCAATTAATAATAATTAGTTACCGGCCAATCAAAGTCATTCAACCGTGAAAAATAAAAAATCACCCACCAATCAAAGTCGTCCATTCATTTCAAATAAATAACCGTTAACCAATCACAGCGGCTTCTGCGAAATTTGTGCCGAGGTCCTCGAGAACTGCCCGCTATGCAGACAGAAGATTGAAGATCGCGTCAGGAGTGACGTCATCAAAGGGGATGGCGACGCCGTGTCACGTGACCATTTGTGATTGGTTGGGATTGTGGTTGGATCTCGCGCGATGTAGTGGAATGTGATTGGTCGAAATTGAATGCTACGTCGTGTGGTATGGAATTTTTAATTGGGCGAGGCTTAGGGGTTACGTATTACGGTTAAGTAGGTGCAAGGTCATGAAATTAAATGAAATTTCTATTGATATAATGTAAGTATATTTTGATATATTTCTTTTGGCTTCTACACTTTACACTGTGCATGTAATGTGATGTTTGATGTTATACAATGGGATACATGTTCGTATATATAAAATAGAAAAAGAAAGAGAGAGAGAAAGAAAGAAAGAGATAGATAGAGAGGAGAGAGAGAGAGAGATGAGAAAGAGAGGAAGGAAGAAATAGAGAGATACTGAAGTGGTGTACACTGGTGCTGTGCTCAGTTGCAATAAACGATGAATCACAACAATATGTAGTTCGGATCATGTTTTTCTTTTTTTTTCTTTTAAAGATTTAACAATATATAATATTTGTACTATCACGGTAGTCACTGGTGCTTTCGAAAGTGAGTTTTATGACATGAAGTGGGATTGTGACTGGGAGGGATTGTAAGCTAGCCAAACGAGCCAACAGTTGTGGAATTATCCTTATATGATTTGAATGCGTGGAGAATCGTAAGTCTGAAATAATTGGATAACTAATTAAATGAGTGTTCGTTATGTCACTTCCTTGTTTCACGTTAATTCGAGATGGGTGATTGAAAGAACTGAATAATTAGTTAATTAATCGATCAATAAATTAATTAATATATTCATTAACACGTCGTTTTAATTAGTTCGTGATAAAGAAATAAGTGAATGTAATTAAAAATGTGGTTTGGCTAGTGAATATATATATATTGTTATTGATGTAGTAATGGCACGGATTGATTTTATGTCAGAAAAAAAAAATCTAATCAAATTGATTTGATGATGCAAAATGATTCTATTTAATGTAGTTACCATTTTACAATATTTACTCATCATTAAGACCAGTGGTGGGCAAACTTCTTGCCTGTGAGGGCCGCATTGAGATCTATTTTACTTTTGAAGGGCCGCATATGTACTTAAATAGCAAATTCTACCCGTGGAAGAATTTTTTAAGATTTGTGGCTCCTTTTTTTGGTCATATTGTCTGGTTGACGGGCGGCATAAAATAGCTTGTTTGTAGTTTGTCCACCCCTGATTTAGACGCTCACCACCACCCACCACCGTCATCATCTTTTGACATCATTAGCGTTTCAAGTATCATAGTATCTTGATATGCTGCTATCATTTTATTGATACTTCGTCCTGAATGTCGCCGTTCTATCATCTGCCATCATCATAATTCACCGTTGAGTGTACTGAGAGTGGTTATCATCATCGTCATTCCATTCATCATCTTCAATCTTATTTTATGACATTATTATTGCTGTTATTATTTTTATTATTATTATTGTTGTTGTTGTTATTATTCACGTTTTCGTCGTCATCATCATTTCTCCTCTTGTTCATCATTTCTTGTTCATCATCATTTCTTCATCATCATCACCATCAGTTCATCATCATCATGTCTTCATCATCACCATCACCGTCATTAGCTCTATCACCTCTACCCTACACTGTCACCATAATTAGTATCATCGTCATAATTTACTTTTGTGACGTCATTCGCTATTTGGAGTAAATTTTTTAAAATGTAAAAAGTACATGATGAAAAAATCATGGAAATTTTTCTCTCTGTACCTTGATTATTTTACCCTATTACCTTTTTTGTATGCTAAATTGAATTAATTAATTAATTTATTATTTTTATATCAGATTATTATTGAAAGCTATTATGAATATTAAAGATTATATATTTAATAGTTATTCAATTATTTATTTAAATTAATTTTGTCATTTTAATTTAAATTTTTATTATGGTGACAAGGTTGTATGTTCTTTTTTATATATATATACATACATATATATATATATATATAATTGTTTTTTTTATTTCTTTGTTTAATGTTTCGTGGTGTGTGTGTGTGTGCGTCTGTGTGTTTGCGCGCGCGCGTGTGTGTGTGTGTGTCTGTGTGTTTGAGTAGATATACATTCTTGTAACGTTACTACCTTACAGCGCTGGCAAATTTGTTTTAAACTAATAATAAACTGAATATGCAATTGGTTTTGTTACATTTTTTCTTCCTTGAGTAAGCAGATACACATAGTTATTTGTATTTGTATATCTATCTGCATGTATTTATGTGCTGTTTAATTTTTATTAAGCATCTTTTTTTTAATTATGTTGTGTTTTCATAATTCTAACTTGATCTATTCCGTTTTGGTAATATTTTTATTGAATTTTTGAAAATTCTACATTTCTTTAACATCTAAATAATTGAATAAATTAATTTTAATTTTGCTCTATTTTTTCCAATGTGCCAATCGAATTAACCAGCCATCCAAATAACTTTTATTTGGGCAGGCAAGCATCTTTCTTTTATACCATAAAAAAGGGAGCGATATATAGGGCCGGATTTACAAGTATGGAGGCCCTGAGCAACGAAAAAATAAAATTTTTTAATTAATTAGTGGAGATCATCCAGTTTAAGCCAGGTACGCCTGATGGCTTATAATTAAAATTATGATTACAATTAAAATTATGATAATTAGATGGTCGTTCGTTAGACATGTAGAGACTACCATGGCCTTTCAATTGCTCAGCGCTCTCTACCAGGTCGGCGTATAATTCGTGCGGTATATAAAAGCCCTTCGTACGATGGCGAGCTCTTTTTCCGAAGTCGATTTTGTGTATTGGTGAAATTGGCTTGTTTTGTTGATTTTGAAATCTATCTGGCTCTACACTGTTTTATTAATATATGTATATATTGCGGAAATTGTCTTTTATTTGGTTACATTCACTGTTGATAATTATAAGTATATGATATCCATACTTATATCCATAATAATTACCGACCAGATAAACTGAAATTAGATATCTAGGCTTCAATTTAATTTCGTTTTAATTTCTTTACTTTGTTGTCTTTCCCGTTTTTGTTCTAGCATGGCGAATAAAGATACTCAATTATCGGCTATGGACGTTGGTTTTTAACTCAATTAATCTTATTAATGATATAAATTCGATTATTTTAGTTGTTTTAATTAATTATTATTTAATAAATACATTAAACTTTGGTAGCATAGGTGCGCTAATTTGTCCTTATTTGTTTATAAATTCTTAAATAAATATTGTTTGAGTCACACATGCTTTAGTTTTTAGTTAGTTTAGTTAGTAACAAACTTTGGTTTTGTTTTTAGTTTAGTTAACTAAATTTTAGTTAGAGCTTTAGGAGTTGAACAGGTTAAGACAAGTTAAACAGTGGAAACTTAATAACCCTAAAACATTTTTAGCATGTGTTTTTCATCTCAATTCATTCTAATTATTCTAATTTAATATTTTAATTTTATCACCGATATGAATATAATTTTATGAACAACCCAGCCTCTAGACTAGAGTCTAGTAAATATTTGAAACCTTTGATGCCGTATTGTCTTAAAAATCATAAGAAATTTATAAAATATAATAATATATTAATGAATAATTTATAGATAAAAATTAGAATTGAATGAACTGCATTGAAAGTAAAATAACAAATAATTATTTACCTATTAATTAGTCTAGTTTAGAAAGTTTTCTATGCATAGCTTCATTTAATAAATAATAATAATATTAAAGTAAGTAATTGATTTGTTTATTTCAAATTTATTTAGCTTTAAATATTTTTATAATATCAGATAGATAACGAACCTCCGACGTTGCCTCCAATCAACTTGCAGTCTCTAGGGACATCCAGTCAGTTGAAGAATGAAATCCGAAAAGTGCCAATTCCTCCACACCGCAGACGACCATTGCAGGAAAACTGGGAACGTATCATAAACCCCATCGTCAACCAGTTAAAATTAGATGTCAGGTATAATTTAAAATCAAGGTGTGTGGAAATAAGAAATGGAGTACAAACCACTGAAATTAGTGCACTGCAAAAAGCAGAAGACTTTGTAAGAGCATTTTCATTGGGGTTTGAGGTAAACGATGCCATGGCTTTGATGCGACTAGATGATTTATTTATAGAATCATTCCAGGTCACCGATGTGAAACCATTAAAAGGGGATCACTTAGCAAGAGCAATTGGTAGAATTGCCGGGAAATTGGGTAAAACCAAATTTTCTATTGAAAATGCGACGAAGACAAGAATAGTCCTATGTGACGAAAAAGTACACATTTTGGGAGGTTATAAAAATGTTGATATAGCGAAAACAGCAATTTGTAGACTAATATTGGGCAGTCCTCCGTCAAAGATTTATGGAACTATGAAGGCTGTCGCTGCAAGAAAGAATGAAAAAAATTAATATTTTTTATTTTGCGTGTACATTTATGTATTATATATTTATTATTATTATTAATCTTTATGAATGTATATATGCAACTGGTCATCTGGGCTAGAGTTTTATCAATTGTGATATATATCTGACAAACTCTGTAGATACTTAACAGTTCTGCTGTTTCGAGCTATGAAGTTATTTAGTTTTAATAAAATTACTAAATATCTCATTAATTTTTTGTTGGTGTTAAGATGTGTCAACTATTTCAAAATGATTGAAGTTATCCCCATAGCAACTAGTGTAGAATGTAAAGAGATAAACCTAGTAGCGTTGCTCAACAAAGTACAAAAACATTTTTTTATTTTTGTTTTCCCTTGTGCTCATCCCTTTTTAAGTAAACAAATATTGAGCTCAGGGTGTAAACATAGTTGTGACGTAATAACAACAATTATTTTCTATAAAATCGGAAGTCAAATTAACACGATAATGTTCAAAATGATATCAATAAGTATCCTAATTACATTATTATCGAATTCACCGTGCTTTGGAGTTCGTGACGTCAGTGCTGCCTGCTCTGAGTCATGTGTGCTGTTGACCAATGACAGTCTGGCCTGTGACGAGTTCAGTTCGGCGGACTTGCTAATGTGTAATGCATTGTATCCGGAGGTGCCTGCCATTTTAAATTTATAATTATTTAACCTGATCTGTTTGCTCTCGATGTGCTTCATTAGTGGTTTAAGTTAAATTGATAGTAGCTATGAGAGCATATTCAAATTAAAGTGTTTGAGGGCTTTAATCTGTTTTAAACTGTTTGCTTTTTTACCATTTTATACGTAATTTGTTCTATTAACATTCAAATTAAAGATAAAGTATCTTCATTTGAACTGGTATGAACTCTCCAACGATGATGATTACAAACGAAAGTCCGTTTACAAATTCAAAAAGTTGACCGACATATTCTTAGAGCCAGGCGGCCTGGCTCGCGAGGTGATGGCGGGCCATAAAATCGTGCAGGACCATGACTGGAGGTTATTTGATGCCATGGAATTGTACAGAGCGATTAAAGTTCACCTCTACATGAGACTTCTCGAAGGCAATTGCTGCACAAGATTGGACAACGTTAACGTTTTGAGGACAATACTCAAGAAAGAAGACGTCGAATCTCTTTTTGGTAACTGTCCCAAGGAAGCGTTAGAAAATTGTTTGGAAACAAACAGCTTTGATGATCAGCCAAAAATAGAAAAAATGTTAAATAAAGCTCTCAAAAACCATTCTATGTTTATAAAGTTTTGCAAGAGTGGAAGAGAAACTGTGCTGAAGAGAGTAAAAAGGAACAGAAAATCAAAATTTGACGATGAGCCATTTCAAAGAGATATTAGAGATCCGAAATCTGAAATAGTTACTAAAGGAAGCGCCGCAGAGGATGCACTCCGTCACCAACTTCTCATCTACCAGATCCTCTCAATCGTTTCACTTTCGGTTCTTCTGATCACTTACATCGTCCTGGCTGTTTACTATGGTGTGACGAGGTCCACTAAAGTTTCTTACAACGACAGCAACAGAAAGGACAATGCTAACGAACACCACAAACTGATAAACAGTGATGTCGCACTGCCAGAAGTTATAAAATCCGAGGAAGCGAGTGATGCGAACAACATCAGCGAGACGTTGAAGCTTGAGCTGGATAACCAAAAATCGTCATCTTCAAGTGAATCTAAAGTTGGAAAACTCCTGAGACTGCTCAGTTTTAAGATAAAAAGTAACTCTAACAACAATCGAGACGAGGAGGAGAAACAAAAACTGATCCAAGATCAATTGACGGCATCGTCTAAAAAGTTGGAAATCAATAACAACAGCAACAATACTTCCAGTGAAGATGATAGAGCGAAGGATGATTTGGCCGATGTAGCTAAGACTGATGACGGCGACGATTACGGTGATGATGTGTTCGGTGTTTTGAATGATAAAGAGGAAAAAGAGGTGATGAAATACTTGATAGAGCAACTTAGTGCAAAAAATAAAAACCGTTAATCATTTTTCAAAACATTTTCTACATTGGAAATAAATATATTTTTGTTCGATTGAGTCATTGTGAAATTATAATCAAACAATGTTCGCGTAAAGATAATTCAACAGCAAAAAGAAACGTCATTTTTTCCATATATGTTTATATAATATATCTGTGTATATGTACATTTCGTGACGTCGTGTTTATGTTGGGATGTTATTAATTAAAAAATAAATAATAATAAAATGAGAATAAATTAAAATGCAGAAAGCTTTAATAGTTTATTTTTTAACGACGGTTTTGCCCATGTTTGTTAGTGGTTCGTGTCAAAATTCTTGTCAGTTTACTAACAACGGAGAAGTTCTTGTATGTTGGAACGTTGATAAGAATGATTTGCGAAGTTGTCGCTCGAAATTTCCGAAGGTTTGCGTAGTATATTGTTTAATTTAAACGTTTTTTTGGGTGTGGGTAGCTATGGTATTAAACTTTTAAAATCGTCTCATACTTTATCATTCGAAAGATTTTGAAATAATGTTTTTCATTTTTAAATGTGCCTGGTAATAATAATCATTCTTTATCTTAACTATCGTGATTGAACTCAAAACTCGCACTGTTAACAAATGAAAAAGGTATGGCTCATATAATAAAAGATGTTTGTTAACAAACGTTTGAATTTTAATCGCATCATCTAGTTATTTTATCATTCTCTCAAATTAATTATTTTTTCTTTATTTTACATCTCTTGTAAAAACGCAGATTAATTTTTTTTTGAAAGGTCAAAATATTAACATTAAACTGGCACGAGATGTACAAATATTTAGAAAGAAGTGAAATATTGGCTTTCAAGAAACTGCAAAACATTCTCATTCTACCTTTTAACAAATCAGACAACATGTCGGCTCATAAGTTCGGCCCAGAAGATGTTGAAGATCCAAAAAAGTGGGTGACATATAAGATGACCAAATCGAAAAATAATATACAAATAAGAATATTTAAAGATTTTATGAAAGAAAAATGCTGCACTAAACTGCAGAATAGGAATATGTTGAATTACTACGTACCCATAGAAGACCTGAAGCTCTGGTTCTCTAACTGCTTCCCAGGCTTTCAGAATAAATGCTCATTCATGGATGTTCAGCCAACTGAACGCATGCTTATGCAGTGGATTGAAACATCGGAAACGTTCATTAAGTTGATGAATAAGTACTGCGATAAAAAAATTGTGAAACTTTATGGTCAGTTAGATGAGAAAGTTAGAAATGTAGAGAAACGCGTTCAAAAAAGAGATGTCGGAAATAAAGTTAACACGCAGAACAAAACTATTTTTGAACAAAAAATGAATAACGGGGAGTCTGTTCAAACAGTTTACAAATACTCACAGAAAAGCATTGATCAGAACAACATGCAACTGAAAAGAGATATCGATGCAAAGTCAAAACTAAAATACGACTACGACGATGACAACAACTGGGCCGTCAAAAGAATGACTCTGATCTACATTTTTGGCGGGATTCAGCTAGTTTTGGATATAATTATTTTAGCGTATTTGATATATAGGTGCAGAAATGTAAACTATCAGGACGTTTCGTTCACCGAAAGTAATAACAATGAAAGAAAAGCCAAAGAGCTCAATAACAGCAACATAATCCCAGCACTTGTTCAACAGCTGCAACCACAGCAGCAACAGCAGCAACAACAACAGCAGCAACAGCAGCAACAACAACAGCAACAACAGCAGCAACAACAAAATGTTCTTGAAGCTGCCAAGATATTTCAAACTCAGCAAATAAGCGATCAACCGCAAAACCTTCCTCTCAAAAATCACTCGAGTGCTTTGGTGCCAAATTTTCAAGAACGGATAACTCCAGTTGGTTTGCTTCAGGGTCAATCGTTTCTTGGAGCGACAACCGCTCCTACACTTACCATAAAAACGGAAGATCAAAAGCCCAACCTAGAACACGTTGATTCAAACAAACGTAAGAAAGGCGGTGTTTCAAAATTTCTAAATTTTTATTCTCGTAAAAAAGGTAAAGACAAACCTAACAGCGATGGCGAAAGGGAACTTCTGCTAACTGGCGGTTTGGATTCTGCAACCAACAACAACAACAAATCATCCAAGAACAACCTCAATTCGAGCAACAGTCTATCGAACGAGTACTTCTACGGCGACGACGACGAAGAAATTAGTGACGTCTTCGAAGATGAATGCGACGAACTGGAGCAAATATTCCTGGACCATTTATATCGGAGACTGAAAACTGGCTCTTTTTTTCACTGCCCTACCCAAGGACAAGGCCGTTGAATAGTTTTGTTTTATTTTTGGTTATTAATTCTCATAGAAAATTATAATAAATTTTTGTCTTCCAATTGTACTGTTTTCAATGAACGGACGACAAAATAGAGACGTGCAACGTTCATTTCTCCTATCGCCCGACAAGCAATTTTTTCTGTGGAGAGCGTTGTTCATGTTAATTAAGTCTCATTTCGATTTAGTCTATTTCTTGTTATTTTTAATACTTAAAGTTCGACATAATAAACTTGTTTCATTCTCATTTCCGAGCACTCAACATTTCAACTAAACAACGATCTGAAATTTTCGCAAGCAATTTGAAAGACCACATTATGATCAATAATTATTATACAGAAAAAAATTAAGATAAAGAAATCGTCCATATGATACATGAAACAAAACCAGAAATCAACTATCGTCTTCGTCACTATCGCCAAAATGCATCATCTCCATCTGCGTGCCACTCTTGCCGATATCATCGCTTCCGTCGCCGCCACAACCACCACTATTATTATTACTATCACCATCTTTCTTGCCATTAACATCAACACCAGCATCATTTTTTTGAGAGGTTCCACGCGATTCGACCTCCTTCAAATGCTGATTCCTCCTATCTATAAGGATGTTCGTCCGGTATTTGTTCCTTTCAGCTCTGGTCAAAATTTTTCAAAGTTGGAATGTTTTTTTAAAGAAAAATTTTGTCATTTAATGGACAAATTAATAATATTGTATACGAATAAACTGAGTGTAAGAATAATTAGATAAAAAAACAGCAAGAAAGAAATTGTAAACATCCAAAAATATTTATTCAAACTAAGCAAAGAAAAAAAATAAAATAAAAATTAACTGAATGCGTAGTTTAACTAAATATAAAATAGAACAAAAACTAAAAAAAAAAATCTAGCAGCACTAACAAATCAACGACTTTCATCATCCTACTTAATGATTTTTCAAGCGATCTCAAACTGGCTCTGACGGCCATATTGTTTCTTTGCTTCAGTCGAAACGTCTGCACCTTTAAAAGAACGCAAGACCACGTGATGTAGAACTCGATATGGACGGAGCGCTCTAATTGGCTGGCGAGAAATTTTATTAAAAGGTCGACGTGAAGGTCAGACAAACTGGAGCATATGTATGTTATGAAGTTGTTGTCGTTGAGGTGGTCGTTTGTGGTTGTTGTCGCTACTGCATTGTGGTTGGAATTTGTTGTGAGTTTGTTGGTGTCGTTGTTATCATCATCGTCGTCGTCGTCGTCGCTGGAATCATCATCGTCATCGCTATTAGCAGTTTTGTCACAAATGTCTACATCCATTGCTATGCCAGCTGTATCAAAAAAGAACATTCTACATTGATGATTTACAAATTATTATTACGCATTACAAAATTTTACAACGCATAAATAAAAGTAAACTGACCTTCAGTGAAATGACCTTCCGAGGTCAAGGGCACTGTTTCTATGACCTCTCTGATAAGGTCTTTGTAGTTGAGACGAAGGGCAATGGTCAGAGCTTCCAAATATTTAGACTTACGTAGCAATCTTTTTACCTCTTGTGGCGTTACCTGATTGAAATATAATAACAATTTTCATGAAATTTTAAAAATTTATAATAAAATTACTAAAATTAAGAAATTGACCTTTATGTCAAGGTCAAAGGGATTGAATGAGTCATCGTTGCCAGTGTTGACGCTGTACATGAGGATGCCTTCTGATGACGCAGCTACCCATGTCAAACCTGGCAGAAGTTGTTGGTGTGGTTGTTGTTGTATTGTACGTCTCAACCAACCAAACAGCCAGCCAATCAAAGAGCCAGCCAATCAATCAAGCAGCCAACCAATCAAACCACCCATCAACCAACCAACGAACCAGTAGGACAGAATCTGATGCAGTTGACCCTGACCTCTGGCTTGTATGACCTCGTACTGAACTGACCACTCCTGACACCGGGCAGTGTTATTTTCTTTTTACTGTTGCCATCTTCATCCAACTCCTCCACAAGCGATAGACTGCCCCATTCGGTCATCTTCCGCTTATCCAGAAATTCCTATCCACGAGTGTGTGTGTATGTATGTAAGTGTGTGTGGTGAATATTATTTGTAGGTGTATATTGCGTGTGTGTGTGTATGAGAGAGAGAGAGAGAGAGAGAGAGAGAGAGAGAGAGAGAGAGAGAGAGAGAAAGAGAGCACACGTTAGTGAACTGAGCAGTAGGTAGGATAATTTTAGAAATCGCAAGAATCATGGTACAGAAATAAAACCGATTAAAACAAAATTACATACACAATATAGTAGCCAATTCACCAAACGTAAAGTTCTGAATTAATTTAAACTAAAATCATCGAAACAATTACTTTTTTTTTGCTCAACCTAACCGCCACCAATATTTAAACATCAATCATAGCAACGCTCTGCCACAGGCGAACTTTCCAAAACTACAAACATTCTACTTTGAACTCCACCCATCAATCCACCCAATCGCCCCAGCACCAACCAGAGTTCCATCAAGTGAGAGGTTGCAGGTGATCTCGTACCTCCTCACCAGCATCTCGCCTTCGACAGAGTAGATGCAGATGTACTTGGACTGCCCGCCGACGAGTACGTACCTGCCGTCTGCCGTGTAGCAAATCGTCCGAAAGGCTCTGAAACCATGTGTGTTGGGGTGGGGAGAGTTATTGTTTATATATTTTGCTAACTGAAAAATTACTTTGGTAACTTGAAGAAATCTTTAAATGTTACTTCAAATACTTGGAAGATTTAAGGTTTTTTTTTTCAAAAAAAAAAAACTACCTCAAATAATATACTTCAGTGATTTGAAATAATCTCCGAAGACTAAACACTTTTTTTTTAATCTCATTTGTTTTCGTTGTATGATTATAAAAAAAAATTGACGACAAAATGTTCTGGACGACAAAATGAAAAAATAGAGGAAAGCAAGTGGGAATAAAATATGAAGAAGAGACTAAGTCAGGGAACCAAAAATATAAAGGAAGAACAAATCAATAAAAAGCTTAGCAGACTAAAATTGCACAATAAAACTGAATTTATCAATTTAAAATGGAAAAAAATTTGGAGACGACATAAAAAAGTGAACAGGCAGCAATCAACCAACTTTCCAAAAGAAGACTTCTTGGCAGTTATTTTATCAGATTCCTTTCTCGAGTACCCCATATCGAACCTGCCCTCAATTGAGTGAACCTGATTGGTTGTCTTCATGTCCCAGAAACTTATCTGCCCGTCCAATGTCGTCACTGCTACCTCTTGGCCATCCGGTCGAAAAGATAAGCTCAGTGCTGATTGGTTGGAAATAAATTTTATGTTTGTGGATTGAAAGTCTCGATCGAAAGAACACAAATTGAAATAAAATAATAGAAAACAAACAAAAAAGCCAATGCACTCTAGCCGGCCCGGAAACGAACCATCGCAGGTGAGTTGAATGACATCCCTGGACCCCTTCCTGGAGAATACTTCCCAAATCCTGACTGTGTGATCCCAGGATCCTGAAGCCAGGATGTTGTCGAAGTTGCTGAAGGACAGGCAACATACTGGTCCCTCGTGGCCTGATAAGACCTTAGGAAAGAGGATGACGTAGATGATGATAACAAGGTGAGGATGATGAAAAAGATGATGATAGTGGTAACAAGGTGAGGATGATGATGATGAAGATGTGATCGAGATGATGACGAAGATGTAAATGACGATGACCGGATGAGATTGATAACGGAAAGATGACATCAACAGGCGTTCCTGGTCATAATGACTAACAATTGATTACAAAATTGATGGTGATAAAACGTGATAACGGAAAAAAATGATAATAATAACGAGAAATGATCATAAAAATGCAGAAAACAACATAGCAAAAAAAAACCAGAGCACACAAAAAACAAGAAGCTACATTAATGAGGGAGCCAGCTTTCATCGACCAGAGGAATATTTCAAAAGTGTCCTGGGCTCCAGCGGCCACCACCTCGCCAGTTTCATCCAATGACAGGCTAGAAAACTGGGTCGAGGTTCTTTCAGGGGCGGTGAAAGTTCGGAAATTTCGATACCTAATTGGAAAGACGTAAAGGATTTGTACTTTGTGGATAACTTCATCGATCATCAACCTATCAACAAACCAACCAACCAACCAACTAACAAACTAATCAACCAGCCAAACTTACCAACTAACCGACCAACCTCATAAGATCAAAAGCCCGAACTGTTCCATCCAGAGAGCCAGACACGAAGGCCTGTCCATTAGATTTGAACTGCAGTCCTGTGATACTGGATGTATGTTGTGTAAAGGTCACGACGCAGTTGTAGTTGCCCGTGTCCCAGAGCTTGACCTGAGGTAGTAGTTGTTATTTTTGTTATCCTTTACCCTATTGTCGAAGCTATAAATCTCAAATAGCCAAATGAAAAACATACACAAAAACAAAGAAAGAATACAATAATACACACACATTCCCACCACTCACACATGTCAAAATAACATACACAACACTAAAAATACAATACAGAATACAGCAATTAACCATGCATGAAACATTACAATACAAAAATTACCTTGCCATCTTCACCCCCGCTCACAATATACTTTCCGTCGGGCGAGTAATCGAGGCAGTTAGTTGTACCAAAATGGCCTTGCTGTTTCAGTATGTAATTCTCATTTTGCCACTCCCAGACCAGGAGCTGGCCCAAATTAGGGCACCCCAGGGCAATCCACTGACCCGATTTGTCAAATTTAGTGCTGGCTATTGCTTGTTCAGATATACTAAAGTAGAAGGGGAAGGGGAGGTTTATGGTTATGATACAGATGATGAGAATTATGATGTTGAAATTTATAGCACATCTCTATTTAATAAATCAGCCCCCAGCCTAATCACTAACTTTAGCGAGTGGATCAGTTGGAAAGCAGGCATCTCATGTATATAGAAGACGCCGTTGTCAAATGCAGAAACCAAGATCTTTGTCGATTTGTGATAGTCGCATGATCTAAGTCTGATGATGCTGCTTTTGATGATGTTACTGTCGTCGTTGTTGTTGTTGGTGAAAGATTTTACTGTTGTTGTTGTCTTCGCTGAGATGTTGTTGTCTTCATTGAGTAGTTGTTTGAATGTGAATCTGTTGGTTTCATTTTTGAAATGTTATCATAATTTGATTGTGACTAGATAGAGAGGACTGAGAATTTTAAGTTGATGGAATCAAGCTATTGATGTTAAAAGCTTAATGTGGAAAACCGCCATATTAAAAGATTATAAATTTACATTGGAATAATAATTAATTATTATTGATGAACAATAAAGAGCCCAAACAAAGAAATATACATTGTATTCATACATTGTACACTATACTGTTTTGTATTGTATACTATACACTATATAGTTTTGTATTGTATACCATATACTGTATTGTTTTGTATTGTATACTATACACTATATTGTTTTGCATTGTATACTTTATTGTTTTGTATTGTATATTATATACAATACTATATTTTGTACAATACACTACGAGTTGTATGTACTGACATTTTACTGAAAAACTAATTATACAACAACGACATTTTTAGTATTTGAATAAAAATTTTGGAAACTTTAAACAGTGAAATAAAATTATTTAAATTAAATAAAATTATTTAAAAGCAAAAAAGAAGAAAAAAAAATTATGAAAAATTTTTTCAAGAAATTAAATGAAACTCCCTACTTGGCAGTTCTGTTGTAAAACAACTGCTTAAATCTAACTTGCTGCTTGACATCAACTGATTTCATTAGAGAATTTTTTTTTCATGAAAATATACTTATTAAATTCAATGTTTTCTTTATAAATTTCAATTTAAAATTACTAAGAGGATTATTTATTAGAAAATATAATATACTATCTATTGAGAATATGAAACGGTTTTTAATAAAAATATTTCAGCAAAAAAAAAATACCATCATCTTTTTTCATTTTTTTATTTTTATTTCCTTTCTTCTTCTTTTTTTTCTTTTTACCACCACCATTATCATCTTCACTGCTGTCATCATCATCATCCTCATCATCTTTCCCACCAATATCATCATTTTCATATTCCTTCTCATGCTCTCTCCTACTTCCGGGTAGCAGTTCATTCAATTCCGTGTCACTCTTGTACAAGCAGAGTTCCCCGAGCTCACTCATCGTCATCAGCTGTCGTGTGATTGTATTACCATCATCATCATCATCACCATTACATCCTCATCGTCACATTATTATCGTTATAATTATTCTATTATTTATTTATAATTATAAATCTTTCTTAATCACCACCAATATGATTAAATTTTTTTCTTCTCTAAACACAACAGTTCTTAAATAACTATTTTTTGATAAACTTTGTTAGCAAAAAATAAATAAACAAATCCAATATGTTTGACAGCAAAGACAAAACAAAAATAAATAAGAATATTAATCTATGGAGGAACAAAAATTCCATCCTAACATCCAGAGAATCCTTATCAAAGAAGCACCCAACGACGACATCCTTAAGCCCTCCCACCGATTTGACTGACAGATTTTTGAACATCTGACAGCCAATCACGTAGCAGCTCATATCTCGACTGCCAATAGCAACAACTCTGCAAATGATAACATCATTAAGTTCCAAAATTGAAAAATTTAATCAACTGATTAAAAATTAATTAATACCACAAACTACAAGTTGACTTTTTTTTAAATATTTGAAAAAGACATATTTGAGAATTACATTAAGTGGGCCACACTAATTATGTCATAATTATCTTAATTAGGTCACAAATTGTGTCATTTAGATAATATAAATTATGTTAATTGAAGTGACCTAGAATCAGAGGACCAATCAATGCAGGTTGTTGTTCCGTGCATCACGGCAAACCTCTTTTCGACGACGAACGGATTGATTTCCGGGGAGGAGCCTGGAGTTTTGTACAGCACAACACTGTTGTACATTGTGACTGCAAACTTCCTGTTGATAGAAAGTGATCTTAAATTTTGAAACTATAAATCGAAGCATTTCGTTTCTTGAAAATTCATAATTTTAAAGAAAAAAAATTAAAAAAAAAATTAAAATGTTAAAAATCAACTATACATAAAGATCATTAAAAAATTATTTCATATTAAAATTTTTATAACAAATTTAACAAATGAATAAACTAAAAACAAAGTTTCAAAATTTTAGCCAAAGAAAGAAAAACTAAAATATAATAAAATGCGACCTTCCATCAGGGCTAAACGAGACACAGTGAATTTTAGTCCTGAAGTCGTGGGTGTGTATGACACTCCTACTCAGGATATTTACAAACATCGCCACACCAACTGTTGATGTCATCGTTATTATTATTTTTATTATTGTTATTATTATTATTATTTTATTATTGTTATTATTATTATTCACTCTTTATTATTTCTAAGAAAAAATTAAATATTAGATCTCTATTGGCATGCACATCACCATCATAGTCATCACATCATATCATGTGTCTGATTATGTAATGAATAAAACGAAAATGAATATTTAGTAGGGTACATGCCTTCGTCGATGAGGACCATCATGGAGCCATTGGGTGACACGTCCAAATGTTCGATGTTGTAGTTGCATTCACATGGCAGTGTCTCTGATTTGTTGCTAAAAACAATGGTAGGAAATTTTATTTTGTAAACATTGATTATTTGTTGTTAATAAAAATTATTTTAATTAATTATTAAAACAAATTACAATAAAATCTTAATAATCTTAAAAATCTAAATGAAATAAAATAATACATATTTTTTTATTTAAATTTATTTTATTTTATTAAATTAAATAAAACAAATCAAAAGAATAAAAATTAAAAAATAATTATAAAAAGCAAAAAGAAACTCAATCTACTTTTTCAAGTCAAATTTTGTTACTCTGTTGCCAACTGGACTGAACAATGTATTGCCATCTTCACTGAAAACCAAGTTTCCCTTGCGATAGCAGCATCCCAGCAGATTAGTGAACTTTTAATTTAAATTTAAAAATTTATATTATAATTAATAAAAAAATTTAGAGCATAAGAACAGGAGGTCTGATATTTCAAATTAAAATACAACTAGCTACCAAAAAATGAATTAAATTACATAAATAAATCAACAAAAGTTTACTTTGTAATTTAATTTCATGATTTTTTATTGAACTCATATACGTTTTGGGAATTTAATTAAATGATTATAAAAAAAAACAATTTCAAACAAGCGATATTAGCGCAGAGCGAACCATGCAGTAAACACAAAGATAAAGTAGACACTCGGACGATACTATTTAGTTGTGGTTCTTGTTCATACACTTGAAAAACATTTTTTAGAAGCCCATATAAATAGAATACATTCTATATGCTATATTTTATATATATTGTTAAGCCAATTTTCAACTCTACAAATACGGTGTGGACCCTTAATGTTTGAGTCATGCAGTAGCCTACACTGAGTTGATATTGTTGCGGTTGCGCTAATGTATTAAGTATGAGAACACCGAACCAGGAAAAGCAGTGAGCGGGTGTGAAAAGAAGAAAAGAATGGTATTCATTTGGATAGGCTGGACTGGACACGTGTTTCGTCCCTACAGGGGACTCATCAGCAGCCCGAACACCTATCAGAATGGTATCGCAGTTTTTCCCTTTATATAGCTCCCACGAATCACTTCGTTAGTTTGTGGTGTTTTATTTATCATTGAAAATTGTTAGCTTTAGCCGTTAAGATTTTCAACCCGACAATATATCTGTGATATTGTTCTGATCAAAAGTAGCTAGTTGTTCTAAGTAGTTAAAATAATTTAGCTGTGAACGGTATAACATTTATGATGTGTTCCTCATCATAATGACGTCATATCTAATAATAACGTAATTGAATATAATTGAATAAACCTTAATGAATTAACTGAAATTGTTTAATTAATTTTGATAAATTAATTAGCAGACAATTTTTTAATTAATTTTAATGAATTAACCAACAGGAAAAGTTTCATTAGGCATTTTACCATTTTAAAAAAGTTTAAAACATTTTTCAAGTTATGTCAAATATCGTTAAACTGCTAAGGAGTTTTGTGTAGTTTAAAGAACTCAAATTTTATATAAATTAAGTCATCAGTTTTATTAAATGTCTTTAATTTAGGACAAGTCAAGTTATAAGCATCATCAGCTCACACGCATTTAGAAATCGTCCATTTATTCATGATTGTCTCGTAAATTATCTGACGCTTTTCGTCTTGAAAGAAAAATTCCATCGCTGAAAGACTTTCATTATTCATTGTCGACTTGTCAACTAATTCCTTTCCAGTTCCACAGTTACTCTGGTCTACCTTACTGGTGCGACTGATAATGATTTTTTGGGGGTTATCCTTGCTTATTCTGGCTGTGGTCTGCTCTATCGTATTACTATTAGGAGCGCACATTCTCATCACCGTCACATGATGTTCTGAGAAACATATTCATGGCGAGGCGATGATGATGATGATAGTGATAACGACGATGATAATGATGGAATGATAGTGATAAAGATGATGATGATGATGATGCGATGGAATGGTGAGATGATGATGATAATGATAGAATGATAGTGATAACGATGATGATGATAAAAATGATGATGATGATGGTTGGATGGAATTATGTCGATGATGATATGAGTAATAATGGAAACTCTTTTATATTGTCTAAAATGGTTATCAACATAAACAAAAAATAATAGCAATAGTAATAATAATAACGGTGATGGCTCGCATAAATTACATTCTTGAATAAACACATTGTGTATAGAGTGCTAGTGAGAATTACAAAGATGAAAAATATAATAAATGTGGTCAAACTATTTTTTTTGGAGACTTCTAGATCATTCCTTTAATGTTATTCATTCTTGTCCAACTGGGTTTCTAAAATTCCATCACTGAAAGACTTTCATTATTCATTCAATGGCTCGTTTTCTTCCTATTTCTGTGATCGTAATTATTCTGTTGTTCTTAACGATGCTACTTCTTTTCTAACTCTTCTACCTTACTTTTGTGATACCTCAAGGGTCTATTTCTCGATTCTTATATATATACCTCTTTACTTTTATTTAACATAATCTCACTAGCGCATATCATAATTTAACTCTATGCCTCTCTTCGGTTCTACTATTTATCATTTGGTGTGACACTATGTATTTTAAACTAAATCCTTCTGAGTTTGAATAAAATGCTTTAATAAATCTAAACCGTCTGCTGCTATTCATCCTGTTACCTCATCTGATTCTACCAATAAAACTCAATGTTTTTATAAGATTTGTAGTCTGGGCTTTATCTTCGATTCTAGCAGGTCTCTCAGATTCTACACTCTATCCTTTAAGTAAATCTTTATACTCTGCTGCTCGTCTAGTTGCTCGTGCCTCTTTCTTTTCTCAAATTCTTCCCCCATATCTTGTTCTCTTGCGATATCTACCTATAAAATATAGAACAGTTTTCAAAATTTGCACATTAATGTACAAGTCTCAATCTAAATTATTCTCTAATTATTCCTTATTAGATACATTAATTGATCCTAAACGCCCCGGTTTACAATCGTCTTCTCGTTCTCACACTTTTTAGCTAGTGTTAAACACTCGCTTAAAATTCACTGAGGAATGCTGTTGAGCACAGCTGAAATGGTGCTTCAGTAACTAAGTGATTGATTGGATTAATTGTTGAACAAAATTCAGGCAAATTACTTTTAAAATCAAGTATTAGACAAGCCAAGCAGTAATCAAGACAATTTGTCGTATGTGGGCTACTGAAGCAAGGGTCTTCATTGAGGTCGTCATCAAAGTCCATACCCAGGGTCAGTGCTAAGAAGAGTTTGGAGATTCAAAAATTGTTTTTATTATAAAATTTAAAATTATCAGAATTATTTTTATAAAATAATCAGTAAGAATTGGACGTTGGCTCAACCGGAAATTAGTCTTGAAAAAAAAATTTGTTAATTAATAAATTAATTAATAAATTTATGTATTAGCGTTGAACAAAATAGAAACTTATGAATAAACAATAATGATGATTCATATTTAACAGTTATAAGAGTTGGAAACTGACACTGACAAAGGATGCCAACAGAGATAATCAAGTGTTGGAGGGTCATTTGAAGAAGAATGTCTAAAAATTTTGTGAACTCTCCGGAAAATGCTTCATAATATTAGATATCAATTGAAAATTACAATATAAGTTAATAACTTATCTCGAAAGCACTAAATATTATCTTTATTCCAAATAACAAAAACTCGTCAAAATCAACCGGTTCTTTTTACTTTAAAATTCAAAGTAGATTGTCAGATGCATTGTTAGGTGCATGCAGTCGGATTTATAAAATTTTTAGCTGATATTTTCAAACTGCGTTAATAAGATATATTCGTTATACACAATTATTACATACATACAAGTATATATTATATGTTATTTAAAAATATATAAACATTTATTTTTCTTCTTCTTATTATTATTATTAAAACATTTATATAGCTCTTGTTATAACATTTTCTACATTTACACTGTTTAATATTAACATAAGATCAATTAATAAAAAATCGCTCTATATCCATCAAATAATCTCCTCCTCCTTACCTGATTTTTTTACTCTTACTGAAACTTGGCACGAGGACTCTAACTCTCCCTCTCTTATTCTTGCTACTCCTGATGGTTACAGCTTCCTTGAACTCTCTAGACCTCCAAAAAATCTTCTATCATCTTCTCATTCTTCTTATGGAGGTATCTGTCTGTTTTATAAATCTCTATTTACTGCTTCCATTAATACTTCCTTTCACTTTTCTTCTTTTGAATGTCTTGCTGTATCTCTTAAGTCTTCTTCTCTATCTTTCTATATTGCTGTAATCTATCGCCCTCCTTCTTCTTCTCTCACTTTATTTTTAGATGAATTCTACTCACTCGCTGAATCTCTCTACTCTTTTTCTATTCCTTTATACATCTCTGGTGATTTTAACTTGCACTTCAATAATTTATCATGTTCTTACACTTGTAGGTTTAATGATATTTTGTCTCTTTTTAACTTAACTCAATATTGTTCTTTTCCTACCCATACTTCTGGTAACACTATTGATTTTATAATAGCTTCATCTTTTTCTAAGCCTATTAATATCTCTGCTAGCTCTGTTCCTTACTCTGATCACCTTCTTATTGAATCTGTTTTTTCATTAGATTTTCTTCCTTCAAATTCATCTATGTCTATTTCTAAAAGATGCTGGTCTTCTCTTAATAAAGATATTTTTCTTCAATCTCTTACTGAACCTATTTTTGATACCACCTTATTTTCTGATGTTGATGATTTTGTCTGTGCTTTTAATATCTACATTACTTCTATTCTTGATAAGCTTATTCCTCTTAAATCTTTTACTTATAGGCTCTATTCTCGTAAGGCTCCTTGGTTTGATTATGCTTGTGTAGTAGCCAAGAAAAGTCTTAGAAGACTGGAGAAAGCCTATAGGTTAAATCCATCTAACTCTCTTTATTCTATCTATGAATCTGAATTGATTAATTATAAATATCTACTATTCTCTAAACAC